AATAGGTGATTTCTTTTATTACTCTACAATCAGTTAACCACCACTTGGCCAAAGCATTCTGATTACCTTTGTTCCTGCTGCCCTTTTATTTTTTTATTTTTTTTATTTTTTAAAGGTTTTATTTATTTGACAGAGAGAAAGACAGCCAGAGAGGGAACACAAGCAGGGGGAGTGGGAGAGGGAGAAGCAGGCCTTCCGCGGAGTGGGGAGCCCAATGCGGGGCTCGATCCCAGGACCCGGGGATCACGACCGGAGCCGAAGGCAGACGTTTAACAACTGAGCCGCCCAGGTGCCCCTCCTGCTGCCGTTTTAATGTGTTCACCTTGTCAGGCAGTTATATGCTGCCTCTTGGCTTTTGTTACTCTGAGATTCCATTAATCCTGTTGAAATCAGGGTAGCATCCCCTATGGCCATATCTAGTCTACAGATGAGGGTAATTACAGAGTTTGAAAGGATGTAAGTGGTCCTTCACTAATTTATTTCTCAAAATCTTAGTGAAGGGAGGGACTTCTGAGACTTCTCAGGGGATATGGTTGAGGGGATGCGTATGCATGTTGCACATGATAAATACACATCAACATTCCTATCTTCCTAAGCCTTCAGGTTCCTTCCTCCATATCAGATCATGGAAACTATGGCATCTCACTCTCATTAAGCAAAGGACACTACTGAGTCCAAGAGTCAGTTGACCACCTAATAAGATGTCAGAGCCTCTTCTAGCTGCCTAATTTATAATACAAGATCTGGAATCTCTAGTAAGTGTGCCATATAAATTAATTTGGTCTGACATAGAGTTATATTCCACTCTCCATGCTCTAACTCCCTTAGAATCCACCCCCACACACATTCCCCAGGTTTCTGCCAACATATATATTAGACAAGTCTTGTAATTCATTTAGAGTATAAGCCACTTCCTCCTGGGTCATACTGTGTGTCTGAGTCCCTGAAACATGCTGAGATTTGATCCAAGTTGTAGGTCTAGTAGCAACTAGAAGTGATGATAGTGCATCTTGAGGAGAATAAGCATCTCTTTCAAGACATCTGCCCCGGATGAAGTTATCATAGAGTTTTCCAGCAAAGGAAGGCTAGTCGTTATAGTACTGATCTGCTTCTATTGCAAAGGGAGGCTCAGAGTGACTTGGAGATTTTAGAATCTCAACTCCCCTTGCATCCTATCAGATCTCTCCATTCTAAGTTTCAAGGTCTCATTATTTCTCAATGTTCTAACTTTCACATAAGAATCTTATAAAGGCTGTGAATTCAACTGCTGTTGTAATTCAGCCACTTGCACAGTTAAATTTGTGTTCAATATTGGTTACACGAAATAAAATATTATATTAGGACTGCCCTTGGAAGCTCTGTGACTCTCAGATTATGATCCTGAGCTTGTTTTTTTCTTCCCATAAGTGCTGCAGTATACTCAGGAAAGTCAGTTCCACACCACAGTGCTTGTCATTACTATTAACAGTAAGTGCAGCAGCCACTTGGGTTCCCAAGGCATTCACTTTAATTAACACTTCATCACGGGTGATAATTTAATTTACTGGGATGTCACTCTATGTCATGGATAACTAGTACCTGGTTTCCCACTGGCAAGGAACTCAGCGCTGCCCTCAGATGCAAACACATGACCCAACTCATTCTCAAATCTTGTCTCTGAGAGTCTGTCTCCCCAGACCATTCCAATATCAATTCTCTATCAGGGTCCAATCAGAAGACAGACCCCACACCAGTAATTTGAGTAGGAAAAATTTAATATAAAGAATTATAGCTTATAAAAGCTACTATTTCTAGGGCTGAGGGAGAGTAATTTAGGAAAGAACAAAGAACTTAGAAGAGCTCTCCCCATCACTCACTTCAAGGCTGATTCAGACCTACTTGGAGAGGCATGGCTGCTATAGGATCACACAGCATGCCAGTGCTAAGGAAACTTGCCAGAGGGCACGGGCCACAACTGGTCCATAAACATGGCCTGTTGGATGGTGGAGAAACTTGCTGGAGAGCATTAGCAGGCTGGAGCCGGTCTGTAAGGGCTACTGAGATGACCAGTACCAAGCCTCCCACATACTGCTCCACTGTCTATGTGCCTAAAAATAGCACACTAAATTGTGAAAGGAAATCCCTTTATTTTGCAATGGCCTTACCATGTTCTTTCAGTGCCCTTTATTGACAAAAACTGTACTGACATTGCGCCAGCTGGCAAAGGAGAAATGTTTATAAGGTTGAGCTCCAGTATCACAGAGCAGGGTAAAAAGCATGGGTTTAGTGCTGAGAGGCAATAAGTTGATAACTGGCAAAGGGATGAATAAATTTTGTGTGTTTAATGGACAACAAGCTGGTCAGTATACTGGAAGTGAGTGAGTGGGACAGAGACAATGGTGGGAAATGAGGTCTGAGAAGCAGAGAGGTAGATGAGGTCAGCCGTTTTAGGCTTTATAGATCATGGTAAAGACTTTGGATTTTATTCCAAGTGTGATGAGAAAGCATTGGACAGTTGAGAGCAGTGATGTGATGTAATCTGATTTATTAAAAAAGGTCAGTTTGTGGATATTTGACTTTAGGTGCAAGAATGGCAATAAAGAAGGCTCAGTCTACCAAGTGCCAGCTAATCCACACTCTATCTTCTCTAGGCTATACTCTCTCCTGGGTTCTAACCCAGGGTGACCAAATGTCTTTGTTGGACTGGGACAACTGAGGGGCCAGACCCCTTTATTCTCAAAAGTCCTAGTTTTAGATAACATGCTATATGGCCACCCTAGATCTGACATATCTCAAATTCTCTCCTTTCCTGAAAACAAGCCTGACACTTCAAGATTGTTAGGCAGAATTTCTAGAGGTGACTGCCACTCATTGCTATGCTTGGAGAATGCCTGAAGTACAGGCAATTCCCCAAGACCTTCTCCCCTAACACCCAAGAGTCTTCTCTTCCTTGCCCTTCTTTCATACTATCAGGTCCCAGCCCATTAGTCTAATTCCTGATGTAGAGTGCTGGCATTCCTCTAACTTAAGATGCTCTGAGAGGACTTGGGGAGAGTCCCATTGACAATAGATTGACTTTGAGGATGACCATACCCTCAAAGGAGTTTTCAGAAGAAGTCTTTCCAGTTTCCTAAAAAGATGTTTAAGATGACAGCCATGTGCAGGAGGTCAAGCCATCCTTCATTTCTCACTGGACCTTCAAACAGAGGCCAGATCACCTGCTTTATCTGACTTCATTGCTTCCCTAGCCAAATACGGATTCCTAGGTAGGTGAAATAGAAGCTTGCCTCATGATGCCTCTGGCTCTTTTACCTAAACCATTACGCTCTTGCACATTTTCTCATACTTTCTCTACCCTTCTCTGTTCTCTCTCCTCAGGGCTGACAACCATTGGTCGCATTTCCCATCAAAACCTGCTCGCAAGTCTTTTACTTATACCCTCAGACCTTTGGTTTCCTCTGGGATGTAATGGAGTGAAAGAATCTTAAAAAGTTTCCTCTCCCAGGGACCTTGCGTTTTAATAGAAATCAGTTGGATACCAGTGGTTCGCAATGTTTGGTCTAAATAAGAACAACTTGGAGAGCTTGCTAAAATGCATATTGATGGGCACCAACCTCCAAGTACCTGATCTGATAGCTTTGGGGTAAGGCCAAGTTTGGGGGTAAAACAAGAATCTGTGTTTTAATCAAGCATCCCAGGTGATTCTGCTGGTTGGTTCAGAAACTATGCTTTGATAATAATTCCCTAAGTTAAAGGGAGGAGACACTAATGCTAGAATTGCATGTGTCAGTTGTGAGAGGAGAAGGCTTTATTGAATATAAGGAACCATGCCACACAATTACATACAAATATATTAACCCTATTTTCTGATTCCAAAATTGTGTCACATGGAACCTCAGTGGGGCATCGCTGAAATACATGGGCTAAATGGTCAACCCATTTGAAGGGGGATTTCAAATGTTCAAGAGTGCCAAGTTCTGCCCTGTCTCTCCCCTGTGGGGTTCCCCAGGAAACTATATACATGTGATTGTAGCCAATTAGAAAATGAGTGTTATTCTATTATTAGCTGGAATAATGTCTAATCACATACAACATAGCACTCTACGAAGGCTGGATTGAAGCCCATCATTTTGGTTCATGGTCAGTTCAGGGTCTTCTGCGCCCCCTCCCCCAAGTTTCTACAGCCTAATTCTTGGGCTAGTATATCCATATATGCTGTGAAGAGCAAGAGATTGAGAGACTGCTGAGCTCACTTACCTGGCAAGCCATATGGAAACAAAGAGAGAGAAAGATAATAAAGAGGTAGAGATTTATAGAAAGAATACTTATATCTGCTTACTCTATGGAGGCTGGAAAATTAAAGTACAAGTCAGAGTGTCATGGATGGATACTGATTTTTTTATCATGTAGTAATCCTGCCCATTAGCAGTTGTGGCCCAATTAATACCTAGTACTCTGAATGATGAGATCAATAACCACATCTTCCTTTGGGGGAGAAAGGAAGAAATGGGCAGAAGCAGACCTGATGTAGGAAAAAGGTTTGCAGGCCAGGCCAGACCCAAACAGCTGACACCAAGTTATAAAGCAGAAGGGATGGTGACATGCTCCTATGGCTATGTTTAATTTCTGCCATGGGCTATCTTTCCCCTCCTTTTACTCCCATTTACTCCAAAACATACAAAATGCAAGGGAGGGTAATTTCATTATAGGGTAAATCCTGAATCTGTTCTAGCTGGTTAAAGGTATCATTTGCAAACTTTGGCACTCTCATTGTGACTGGATCCGCTGATGTGTTGCAACCTTTTGTGCAGGTCCTGGAGGAGTGCCCTCCCAACCTGCTCCAGTAGCTACTCTCTCCAGCCTTTCCACTCCTCTGTTCTTCTCATACAACCTTAGACTCCAGAGCTCAGGGTTGGGGGGGGGGGGGTAGGGAGGAGGGAGCCTCTGGAGAAGCAGGGAGGTTGTCTGATGTCCTATAATTCCTAAAATGGACTTGATCATCCAAGGGGAGAGGGTGGGAGGGTTTCTCTTGTTATAATTGTGTTCAACTAAGACACATGGATTTCTGGGACAAATTATTTTTACACAGGGAATTATTCTGGAAGCTTTGTCAGAGCCAGTTTAATAATAAAACAAAACAAAAAAGAGAACCTTGCATTTTTAGTCTTTAAATTACTTTAATATACATAATCTTATCTCCCCTTCCCTCCTTCTTTTTGCCTCCCCCTTCTTTCCTTCATTTATTCAAAAACAATTTTGTGCCTTTCCAAATACTTGGGTGGGGGGCGTTACTGCTCTTCTATTTTGTGGATTATCCATTCAATTCCTTCTATCTCCTTGTCAACTTTTGACCATTTTCCTGTTAACCTTTTCATTGGAAGGAAAAGTTGGATAAATTGCTGAAATAAGGTTAGAGATTATCACTGGATTCAGATCTCACATGTTTTTCCCAGCCTCCCCCCTCCTTTGGAGGATCTGAGAGGGTAATTTGGCAGTTCAGTGTATTTTTGTAACCTCTAGCTAACAGGAGAAGAGGAGGGATGTGGAAGAGGGAAAATACGATTAAACCAGTGTAGACATTGTTAAGAAATTTATTTGCAATTCTTGTTTTTTGTTTTTTGTTTTTTGTTTTTTTAAATAACATCATTCCTTAGATAAAAATGCAATCTTACAGGAATATACATAGCGTCTCACACAGAGATGACCCTGAAGCTCTTCTCGAAAGGTTACCCCTTCTAGATTCCTTGGCCTTTCTCGAGGTTGAGAAGGCGCAGCAGGCGAGGCCTTTGACAACGGGATTATTTGATGATTACAAACTGTACAACAGTATTTACAACAGTAAGACCGTGAAGTCGTGGAGCCTGGAGGAGAAGGTGTGGGAGTGGTGACAGGTGGGGGGATGACGATGGAGGACTGTTCATCTTTCTGTGTTGTGCTGAGAGCAAGCGTGATACAGACTGGTTTGGGGGCATGAGGATGGGCCTGAGCAGGAGGACATGAGGAGAGGAGGGAGGAGGGGCTATTCTGGAGCCTTTGACATGGACCCAAGTTCTGCTTGGCAGCTCTAGGGTATTAAAATAAAACAAGCAGATTATGAGAGTAATAGACATTCTAGTGTGTCACAGGCTGGGAACCCACCACTTGTCCAGATTTGTTTATGCCTTTGATAGCCACAGCCTATTTGGTCCTAGACTCTATTCCCACGAGGCTCTGGGAGAACAGCACATGTTCTGGGCAGGACAGGAAGTGGCTATGGGGTGGTGCCTAATCTAGTTGAGAAACTAAGAGATGGATTATAAATTTGGGGGAATGGGATGGAGCTCGATGCATGGGTGGTGTGATGTGTGCAAGCAGAAAAGTGCCCATAGCATTTGGGTCACTGGAGTTACCTTATGAAGGAGCTCTTTGCACAGGGTTGTTTGTTTACAATTGTCGACCCTCCTTCCCAAGACTTGTCTTTTTCTTTTAAGCCTTGATGTTGTTTCTCCATGTTGGGAAATTTTAGGGGGAGGGGACTTGGAACAGGATGCTGTGACCTGTCCTCTTTTGTTCTTCCTGTGACTCTATAGAAGGGAGCCTTCTCGTTCCCCTCCCAGTTGCAGGCTCAGGAGAGACTTCATGCAGTGTGGGCGACCTGCAGCCCTCAGCAAGCTTTGGCAGTGACTCACTGCCGAGGCTGGTGCCCGCTCACTCTCATCTTCCTCATCCCTCTGCTTGTACCCTCGAAGGCTCCATGAACATCAGAACAGGAGTTCTCCAGGCTCAAACTGAAAAGGAATCACTCTGTCCATTTCTGTATTTCTTCACATAGAAATTACCCTTCCTTAAAACTTACAACCTCTTCCACCAAGAGACTTCTTTGATAATGACCTAGGTGAAACATTTTCTTATGTATGAGGTACATGAGTGATTTTTAGATGGCAAATTTGTGGTAAATGACTGATTAATGGTAGATTAAATGTCATGCTGCCCTTTCTAGGAATCTTACCAAATCAGAGTAGATTCTGGAAAGTGGGGTGCATGGGATGCCCCCCAAAAGAGAGTACAGCCGTGAAGAGGCCAGCATGTGATCTGAAGGGAGAATATTTGACTCTGGTCATGTAACATTTCAAGCTTTTGTTTAATTATCTAGTTTTGTCTTGTCTTCCTTAATTCAGTAGAGACTGAGGGGATTTCTGTGGAAGTCCCAACTCTGACTCTACTTTCAGTATTGAGTTGATTTGTTCAACTCAGCTCAATATATCCTGCTGGCAATCTCTATTTCCCTTTCAGAGACCAATCAAAAGGCTTTTGTAGTATACCAGCAAGCTGAAGAGTCTTTACTGCTGCATCTTCTCCGGAGCAAGCCTCTGAAAATCATATGAGGGAAAAATCTGACTGTAGAAGTAATTGTATTTCTTAATGTAGATAAATAATATTTAGTTCACAGTAATAATAGGGTCAGATGGCACTATTTCTACTAAGGAAGTTACTCTGCTTCGCTCTCCATGTTTCTCTATACAGTGCTCAGCCCTCTGGGAGGACAATATCATTTGTGCAGAGCTCAACCCCAGCACCAGCCCCTGTCCCTTAAGGAAGTGTGTTTTTGTGTGTGTGTGTATGTGTGCACGCCCGTGTGTGCATGCGTGTGTGCATGAAGATGAAAGTGTGTATGTGTGGTGTTCAAGTGTCTCCCAACCATGTGGGAGTCTGGCAGAAACCGCCTGTTACATTGGTATCTGGCTTCACAAAGCAAGGTTTCATTGTTTTGAAGTAAAAAAAAAAGTTAAAACCAGAACTAGCTTCACAAAGAAACTGTTTAAGAATCTGCACATTGGATTCCTTTCAACTCTCTGTTCTTCTGACTAGACTGGGGGGAGGAAGGAAAAGGGAGGGCTGGGCAGGAGGCTGGAATAGAGAGAAAGGCTTGGGGAAGGGGAAAAAACCCCATCCCTGACTGCTGTAAGACACTTTAGTCCCTTGTCTCTTTTCCTTGTGTCTCCTCAGAGGGAGCTGATGGGGAATCTGGATGTGGTGACTAAGAGCTTCACTGTGAGTGACATTAGGCTTCCCTTCATGCCTTCTGCCCAACAGGAGCCAGTTTTAGGTGGCATGCCAGCTAGTATGAGGGGAGGGACACCAGCAAAGAGGAAAGACAGGGTGGCAGATACCCCACATCTAGCCAGATAGGTTGAATTGTCTGGTAAAACAATGATTGCAATTTTATTCTTCACTTTTTCCCAAGTTGATCCTTGAGGCATGATCCTCTCCCCTGTACTGGCCATTGCGTGGATTAACTGGACACTTCTTTCCAGAAAATAGGAACAGAGCATAAAGAGTCAAGACATGCCCTTTGCTTTGCCTGCATTTTCCCTCCAGTTCTCTCTGTGCCAACACTTTCCCCCAACCAGAGCTGTGTCTTTAAAAAAATGGAACTGGCCTGCACTCTTACCAGCAAGTGTTTTACTAAATTGGGTCTTAAGTGGGTCCTCTTGAAACCAGATTGCCTTTTTCTGGCCTCTTTGCTAAACAGCTTCTAACTCTTAGACAATGATATTTCATCTTTTCTAGGTCCCTCAGGATGGAGATGCCATCATCTTCCTTAGCAACATGTATAATTATGGTTGATGAGGCTAAAAACATGACTACCAGGGTTATTCTGTATGCCTAAACTAGCTTCTTGTTACATGTCTTGACCTTTAAGAATGATGAAACCCTTCTGATGACTTCCAAACTCCTCATTTTCAGGGTGTTCTTATTTCTCAGGCATTGAAAGGTATCCTTCTCCTGAGGTTGCCTTATTATCTATAGCTGAATGATCAGGAAGGAAAATGTCTGTGAGAAACTGATAGCTTCGCTCCAGACAAGCCCCTGAGGTTTGGCAGGGTCACAGGATCAAGACAGAGTAAGGAAGCCTTGTTCCTTTGTCCTTGGACCTCCCAGTCAAAGTTAGAGGGTGGGGGGTGGGGGACTATAATAGCCTCTGAAGCAGAACAGAGAAAAATTCATGGAACAAGCCAAAATCTAGGAAAACATTCTCCTCTTTTTGCCTCAAGACCAAAAAGAAACTTCTAGAAACAGGCAGAAAGGAGATAACTGAAAATCTCTCTGCTTAATATAGCCATGCACATGCCTAATTATTAAAAAGCTAAAGTGTGGAAATACAAGAGTCTGGGCCATTCAGAGGACAAATAAATATCGTTTACCAACCCCCAGAACTTACACGGCACTTCTTCAAGTCCCATTGGTCCTCAGCCATTGACAGCTTTCTGCTGCCACTCAAGGGTTCTCAGAAGATTTAATGGTCATGGGTACAGTTCTGCTCTAGGTGGAGGGTAGACATCACTTAATACACTGCGGAGGAGGTGCATGATTTCATGATTGATTTTACCAGTCTGCATGATGACAGGTGTCCTATGTCAGTCCTATACCAGTCGATCATGAGGGAGGTCAGGCCAGAAAGACCCATTGCCCTACACAGGGAACTCCCATCTGAAACTCCTTTCCTTCCCAGCAGCACAGCGCCAGGTGCTCTTGTCACTGCTGCCATTGTCCTTGCAGGGTGCAAGCCTAGCCAGTCTTCTGACAGAGCTGACTAGAAAGAAGAAGGGACCCTGTAGGTGTGAGTGGTGAAGGGCCAGGGGCCACACTTAGGCAGGGCTCTAGGGGGAGTTGGCATGAGGCCAGCCTGTAGCCCATGCCACTGGCCAGCGGGATTTGGTGATGCAGAAGACAAGTCCAAAAGGAAAAAAGAAAGCAGCATGAAGGTTGAGTGAGTGTGTGTGTTGGGCGTGGGTGTGTGTTTGTGTATGTGTGTGTGGTCAATTAAGATTCTAAATTTCTATCCAGGGACCAAATATACAGCAAAAACCAGATATCAATCCAAAAGGGCTCCCCTCTCCACCATAACTAGTATCTTAGCAGCACAATGGTAGCTATCTTGGGAAACCAGACAAAGGACGACACCTAACCATAATTTCTAGAAGGGCTTCATGGCACTGAAAAGGAGCCAAAAAAATTTGGATGGGTTGGGCTTGGAGAAACAGGAAGAAACCCTTCTGCTTCTAGACTGTAAGTTAACCTGGGAGTATCCGGCACGTTTCTCCACTTTTTCATGGATCAGTCCTTGAAAGTGAGACTCGTCTTCACTGGGGAATTGACTTTCCCCGACTTTAATTTCTAGGTTGCTCACATAAGGGCTGAGAGCGCACTGGGACTGGAAGACATTCACTGGGTAAATCCTGGATGTTTGGGTCCTGTTTTCCCCAAATCACCTCCTTTTCAACCGTCATTGTTGAAATCTATTTGAAGGAAACAGGATGATGCTCTAGGCAGACGAAACTGCGCATAAGAGACGCTCCCACAGAGTCTCCGGTTCCACTATCACTGTGACCTCCTGACGTGTCCTGCCTGGTCCTGGTCCCCTCCATGGCTGCCACACACACTAGGGTAGGTCTGGAGGAAATCCTGCTCCCGAGTGAGGAAAAGATGAAGTAAGACAGAGCTGACTTTTGGATGGGCAAAGATTTTACCTGGTTGCTGTTCTCTGGGCCCTGCTGTCTGAATTTGGGTAGAGCAGTTGCCAGAGGGAGGATTCCCTGGCCTCCAGGCAGCCCGACTCTAGCTCCAGCCTCTCAGTCAGCGTACGCTTTCCTGAGGAGACCACTGAGGAAAGTTTGTGGAAGTGAACAGAAAAGCCAGCCACCTCTTCCGTAGGGGATGCTGATGCTTCTGGTGCAGGACTGCCCCTAGACAAAGTCCAAATCAGAGAACTGGAGCAGAATGGGTAGAGTGAACACAGGACTAAGACATGTCCTGGTCTCTCAAAGCAAGATGTAGTACAAGTATACTTATCAGATAGTTTTGGAAAAATGGAGGGAAATGGAAGCGAACACAAGATATGCAAAACAGTAAAGTCCAAACCTGTTGGTGGATCGCAGAATAATGATTTACACTGGTGATACCTTTGCTCATTGTACAAATTAAAAGAATATTCGTTCCCTTTCCCCCAACCACATATAGAAAAGCACTTCAGAGTTCAAGGGTAAAGCTTGTCACACTCCAAATACAAAATGATTTACTTACATGCAGCAAAATATACAAGAAGGGAATTCAAAAACAAACTTAATTCAATTCATTATATTCGCTTGGCACAATTGCAATTCAGTTTTAAAAAAATATTTGTAAAATACTGAAACTGACCTGAATTCAAGTATAACAGTTTCTTCAACAGAAACATTATCAATGCAATAAAACATTACACGGAATATATCGAAGCAAAACGCCTTCTTGAGTTTTTCCCTTAAATTTCTCTGCATTTTTTTTTAATACAGTTTTAATGCCAACACAACTCACAATTATATTTTTAAAATGAATATTATTGCATTGTTTTTGCATATCTTGTGGGACAGGAAATGCAAAGAGTTACTGATTCCCATTTCAGAAGCAGAGACAGTGGTTTGTTTTTGCTTTCAAATGGCCCCAGATTCAGATCTCCCCACAGTTAGACCAGAAAGGGGGAGCTACACACTCATTCACGCACGGGCGCACTGTGTGGGTGTACATACACATGGACGACAGATGCCCAGACAGCCCACCACACACACACACACACACACACACACACACAGAGAACACACACATACTCGCAGAGACTCGCTCATCCAATCTTCCTTTCTCTGGCACCCACAAATACACCTCGCATTAAAAAGAACCCAACTCAATCACCCATATGTGCAAGACCGTATCAAGTGCATTACCTTTAAATTATAAAACCAAACCAAAATAATTTTTGTTACTACCTACGGAAATTATAACAAATTATTGCGCATACACAATGGCTGGTAAAACTTGCCTACGGCGGCTCTATTGAACCTACCATAGAAAAAGAAAACCACAACCGTTTAAATAATACAGTAAAACCAAACCCGATTTACATTTGCAAAAGTGAAAACAGTAAGGTGGGTGTACAAAGCTTTGTAAACACTTTTTCCTCCCCTCCCCCTGGGAAAACAAAATTAAAATAAAACAGAAACCAAAAAAAACCCCGAAAACTGCAACATGCTATCAAGAAAAATGTCAAACCCTAAAACAAAAGAGCGCTCAACAAGAAGCTCAGCACCACCTCGTCTTGTCAAGGGCCGGCTGCCCCTTCCCTGGCAGGCGGTGCCAGTGCCCCGTCGCCCCGATGCAGGCCCAGCCGCTGGGCTGGAGCTCGGTGGGCCCGTGCAGGGACGCTGGTCCTGATGCAGACGGGCGGGGCGCGGCGGGGAGCCTGGGCCTTGGGGGCCGCACACAGCCCTCGCCCTCCGCTCCCTTCTGCTCCCGAGCTCCTGCTGCCTCGGGCTGCACCTCGTCCCTCTCTGGGACGGGGCTGGGTCCTCGCTGCAGTCACACCCCTGCTTCCTTCTGCAAATCCACAGGGCCCCGGCTCTATGGAGACAGTGAGGCTCATACAGAATATGTGCAAAATGATTTTTTTTTTTTTTACAAGCAAAGTTGAAAGACACCCGTTTGACATAGGGTCCTTTTGGTGAGGGCTACCGCAGGAAGCTGAGGTTCTCTTTCACGCCCGGAGGTGAGGGCAGGCATCTCTTCTCTTGCTCTCCCTCCCTGATTCTTCCACTCCTCCTCACCACTCTACCTCTGTGGACACAACACAAACTGGGGTTGCTGCCTTCCTTCCCCCCGGAAAACGGATTCTGCACACCACCCAACTCTGCGTCTTGTCCCAACGAAATGAATGAAGACGCTGTTCCGGTTAACTCCAGGTCACGAGAACAGTGAGGCACTTCTGAAACGAACCCATTAGGAACATTGAAACAAATAAAAAACCCAGCGTCTCCCCAGCCCTAGCGACTACAGGCTGCCGGTGTGGGCTCTGCTGTCCTGGCGCTCCTCCTCGCTCCTCCGACACGCCCGAGCCGTGGTGCAGCTCTCGCCCTCTTGGCCCCCCGCTCTGTCCTGCCCCGGGTCCCTGCAGTTAACAAAAGGTAGTAGGGTGCCGTTGGGGCTCTGCTGGGTGCCCCCACTGAGGATGTTGTCGGCGGCGTTCTCCATCTCCTCTATGGTCATGTCACAGGCATCAGCCAGCTCCTGGGTTGTGACCTCGATAAACTTGGGATCTTGAGCAAACTGCCCCAGTCCTTCTGAAATCAAGACCTGAAGTGGGGAGGGAGGGCCATGAAGAAGAACCAAAGAGGAACATTATTCCTGGAGGTCAACTCTTCCCTTTAGGGCTGGAGCAAGGGGCCTGGGCCTGGTGACTTCGGGAAGTGAGTGTGTGTGTGTGTGTGTGTGTGTGTGCGCGGGTGTGGAGGGAGGGGTGCTCCCAGGAAAGGAGCTGACCCGGAGCATTGCCCAAAGGCGTCAGGGATGTGTAGGCTGGAGGAGAGCTGTTTTGGCTAGGATACTCAACAACTGTTGTCGAACACCTGAAGACTTGGCTCGCAGAGGGGCCGCGGCGTGCTGCTGTACCGCGGCTCAGGCAGAACCCAGCCTGCCCTGTCTTTTCTCCTCCCTGGCACCCCTAGATGCCCCCCTATTATTCTTGCCCAGAAACCTTCACTCTCTTTGGGGAAACTGTTAAACTTGTGCCCCTTGCCCACTGCTGGCTGGCTGCCTTCGTGGGGGTGAGGATCCTGGCGTAGGATGCGTGCAAAACGCCAGGTCTGCACCTGCCTCTGCCCCAGCTCCAAAGGGCCAGCAGGCGGTCCTAGGGCTGCTCCCTCCTTCCTAGCGGTTGCTTTAGCAACCGGCTTCGGGGAAACCAGCTGCTGAGCCAAGGACAGGGGATTAATAGTGAAGCCTGAATGCCTTTCTCCCAGGTCCGTTTGCCCTGCTCCCATCACTCTTTATTTCCTGTCCTGCTTAAGTTTTCTTCAGAGCTCCCACCCTGTGGGACATGCTACATCCATGCTTATTTACGGTCTGTCTCTCCTCACCACGTCATGGGCTCCTGAGAGCAGAAACTGTCTCTCGGCTGTATCCCCACACCTAGAACAGTGCCTGCACATGGTCGGCACTCAATTGGGATTTGTCAACTGAATGAGGGATAACCAAGGCCAAGTGAAGAACAGGGGTTTTGGAGCTAGGAGGGACCTTAGAAGTCATCTGGTTTAACTCTCCACCTCTTGCACGACAGCCTGATGACCGGATGGGTGTTGTCTCTGCTTGCATATGTCCAGCGATGGCGGGCTCACTCCTTTATAGGAAAGCCCTCCTCATTTTGGGAAAGCTCTGTTGGAAAGGTCTTCCTCATGTAACCTGAAATCTGCCTGCCTGTCAGTTTGATCTGTCGCTCCAGTCCTACACTCGAGACCCCCTGCCCAGGACATGAGGGACCTTACAGTTGGAGATGCCCCTTGTGGCCTCCTAAGCCACCCCCTTTCTTGGTTTGCTTCCCTAACTCCCTTGACCAGTGCTCATATGAGATTGCTTCTAGGGACCTCACCAATCCCTTGCCGTGTCCCTTTGGGCTTGTTCCAGTTTGTCAAAGTCCCCTAAAATGTGGTGCCAGGGTCACACTAGATGCTCTGGCCAGGGCAGAGGATAGAGGACCTGGAAGCACTCTTGTTCTAGAATAGTGATTCTCAACCCTGGCTGTGCATTAGGATCATCGCAAGGCTTTAAAAAATACCCATTTTCTGTGTCCTAGGTTTCCAAAGCTCCCCAGGTTATTCTAATGCACCCCAGGCTCGAGTTCCACAGATCCTGACTTTCTATGTGTGCAAACACAGCCCAGGCTCACCCCTGCATCTGGCGTAGTCAGAGCTCCCCTCTGGCTGTACCGTGAGCCCCGGGCCCTGGGGGGCGTTCTCTGGCCTGCGGCAGGGATATGCCACTCAGTCCTTTCTCCCTCCGTGGCAGGCCCTGCCCAAGCAGAAGCCTCTAGCGTCTTGTGTGATCACAGTTCTCTGCACACCATGCCCTCCTCCCTGGGGGTGCGGGTCTTTCTGGCCAAGAGACTTGACATCCATTCTACTTGGGAAAGGACCAGGGACTCCCGTCTCAGTTCCTCATGCGAAGTCCCTGAGCTGCCCTCGGCCTTTCCCTCCCCAGCGTGCCGTGCAGCCCAGGGTCACTTACCGCTTCCACCAGACTGCTGGCACTGCCGTGGAACTGCCTGCCCCGGGCTCCAGCCTGGCTGGGCACAGTGAGGGACACCGGCCGGGCTCTCCGGATGGCGCTGCTGCCCCCAGCGCAGGGCGTGGGCTCCCCTGACCAGGAGCTGCAGTGGATGGACGGGAAGCTGCTGTTGAGTTTCTCACTGGACTCGGTGCCCTCCAGCCTCAGGGTGGGGATCGGCTGTGGGGGCCAGCCTCGGCTGCCCGGTGTGGCTGGGGGGGTGGCGCACGGCCTGGGGGACGTGCTGGGGGAATGGCTTCTCTGCAGGAGGGGGCTCAGGCCAGCCACTGCCAATGCCTGTGGACACACAAGGAGCTCGAGTTACTGGGAGAGACGGACCTCTGCGTTCTCAGCAGCTCCTGCTCCCAGCTAGTCCCACCCACCCGGGGCCCACGCCTGTCAGCACTCTGGCTCCGACCTCATCGAGACCCTGGGTTAGCTTCTGCCACCCTAAGATAGATTTTGTGATCGTGCCAGTCTGAAGGGCTCGCTTTCTCCTCTAAGTTCAGAAAGCTGTGACGGAGTGGAATCAAGAGCATCCCCTTCTTATCACTGGCCCTATCGCCGGCAGCTGAGAATCCTCTGGCTTTTGGTTTTCTCATCAGTAGTCTAGAAAGAATGCTGCCCTCATCATCTGTAAAACCAGGACACTAATGCCCTCTATCTCCCTATCTTGTGGGGTTGACATGAGGTCCAAGTGAAATAAAGCCTGTGAAGAAGTATACTGTGCACCACAAAGATCTAGACAGAACCAGTACTTGGTTTTAATTTTTACAGTTAATCAGGCCATGAATCATGTCCTGCTGATCCTTAGCTCAGGTCTTCTCTGAACTGTTGTTCACATCTTCTGTTTTTTGTTTTTTTAATTTAAATTTTTTTTTTACTGTTGTTCAAATCTTACACTGTATTGTGATTAAACTCTTTACATGTTGTGTCTTCTGGCCCCCATTATGCTTGAGAATCCTGAGGCTGGGGCCTGACACTCGTGTCAGTACCACAAGGACCCGCTCTGAGCTGGTGTCCACGGAGAGTGGCACTGTGCAGTGGGAGAGTCCAGCCAAGAGGCAGAGGGAAGGGAACGCTGCAGCAGGGTTTGGGGGGGCAGTGGGAAGGCATGGAGGGGGCAAGTGTAAATAAAGAATAGGTTCTTTCCCGTAGCATGGTAAGAACACATGGGTGAAATGGACTTCTAGAAATCTTTAAAAATAGCACACACAGTGTCCGCTTGCCCCCAGTCAGCCTGCTAGTCTCTTCTGCCCATAGCTCTGGACAGTCCCCAGCCTGGGGTCACTGGTTCCCTGGAGATCTGAGGGAAGTGTAAGGCTATGCTCAATACTCCAGAAAGCCCCATGGAAATCATCTGTATGCTGGCAATGCCACACAGGCTAAGCAAAACGGTGAGTACTGTGAGCTGAAATAATATCAACTTAGCTGAGCCACACTGGCCATCTTAAGCACATTATAAGCTTTGATTGGCAGATGAGTGCCCTTGGGTATTAAAAAAAACCCCATTTAATGCATAGGCTTGTGGTGAGGGAGTATATACTTAGAGAGGAAAAAAGTTTGGGAAATTTGGGCTCTAATTTGCCTAGAGGTAAGGGACTGGCCTTTGATTCTTTGAGGCTTCCATTAGTTCTAAGATACTGAGAACATGTTGGATACTGTGTCTTGGATTTCACTGGCTCAGCTGGAGTCAGCCATGCCAAGAGATATTTCAATTATCGAATCTTCTGAACCTGTTCTCCTTGGACATCAGTCTCTACTCCTGATCATGTTGCTGGCAGATTCTTTAATCATTTCTATATTTCGGGGGATGGGTTTGTGTGCAGCTAGATCTCCAGGTATCTTGCAACTCTAGGTATGATTACGCCTGCCTGAGTGCTCTGTGGTGTAAGCCGATGTCTGTGGAGGGAACATCTGTGCCATTGTAGGAAGAAGGTCAGGCAGAATACTGGAGCTGCCGATCCTTCTGAACCATGTGAGGAGCTCCTGTTCGCCAGTATTTCCTAGGTGTTCCTCCACCCCCCCCAGGGAAACGACAGGCCTTGTTAAGGTTCTCACTTGCATGGACGAGCCCCCTCATGTGGGGCTGTTAGGGCCAGGGGCTAGAGCTATCAGTGGTCCAAGACAGGAGGACTGAGTAGGGTCTTGGGATTTGCCATAAGCACGGGGGTTGTGTAGCCTGCGGGGTGCTGGCCAGTGATGCCTCCTAAAGTCTGGGCTACCTGATGATGAACCAGATGCAAGGGCAGAACTGTCTTCTGAGAGACGTCTCCCCCTTGATTCTTCTGTCGCTTCAGACATTCCAGGTGGAAGGAGGCCCTTCGACCTGCAAAGCCAGCCAAAGAACTGTGATCAGCACAGGAAAAAGGGACCCAGGTCTGTGAGCCTCAGACCATGGAGGGTGCAAGGAGCCGTGTGAGTGGCCCCGGAGTCAACACCTCCCTACCGTTTGCCTCTCATAACACGTAGCATGTGGCCAAATCCCAGCCCTGCAAGCCCTGGCCTTGGAATCCCGTCTCATTGCTCCGGGAATCTGCCCAGCCCCTGCGTGGGGCTGTCTGAGCCAGTCACTCGAGTGCCTGACCCGCCACATCTGAAGAGAGAGAGAGGTGAGTATTTACCTAGTGAGGCAGAGCGGAGGAAACCCCTCTTTGGAGATTGCTGGACACCTCTCTTGTCCTCCTCAGGTGGGGTTAATTGCCGATTTTCATCGTCCTGATAGGAGAGCCTGGAACAGAGAACTCCTAGTGCTTATTCTGCGAGCTGGGAAGCGCCACCCCATACGGAGAGCTGCCACCCCCTGAAGGCAGTTTGCTTTTTTCCTTAGTAAAGGGAACCCCTGCTTTGTGCTTTGGTAAAGGTTCGGGGAGCGGGCGACAGGAGCTCGCCCCCCCCCCAGCCAGGCTCGGCCTGGTTCTCCCACATCACGGATGTTCCCGGCTCCTCACCCACAGCCTGTCTGCTCAGAAGCCTCGCATTTCTGATTTTCGGCAGTAGAAGCACTCTTGAGTCAAAGTTGGTGAGAAAGTTGGCAAAAAATGTTAGGCCCACAAGATTCTTTCCAGGAACAGCCTAGGCTCCTCTGTTTACATATGTGGATGCTAGTTACCCTGACCACTCCCGACTTCAGCCCAAACTTCTCCCCCTCTCCCTAATTTCTCCCTGGCCTGCCCACCCTTCATCATCAAGCCACATAAGCAGCTGCCTACGGACAAATCTCCAGTCAGCCAGTCAGTGAATAGCTGTAAGGGGCCTGGCTGCTAGGCCTTTTGGATGGGGACTCACAATGAGAAATAGACTGTACATTGTCCCATTTATATACACACCTAATCGAACTCAACTTCTTGAACCATATTTACCTTTTTTGCATGCATTGCCCTCTGGTGGTTTCTATTCTACTTCAGTCTTTTCTATGTCACTAAACAATGTCAGTTGCAATCCACTAAATTGATTTCACAATCCCCAGGGGGAGTAGCCTGCCAGCCAAGAAGACAGGTGCTTTCTAACCCCTTCACTTTACAGATGAGACCACTGACTCTGTCCCTGGTGTAACTCCACATGCTTTGAGGGCAGAGAATGTGTGGCCATCCCTGCTCCTAGCATACTGGCTTTGATCCTTGGTACATGTGCAGGAAAATTTCTGACCAAAAAACCTCCAAACCTTTCTTCTCATTTTCAACTTGGTAAGCTTTCCCTATTGTATTTTCTTCTTATCCAAATTGTACCCACTCTTGAAGACCCAGCTTCTATTTGATCTTGTGCCAGGAGCCTGTTATGGTCACCTTGACCTCAACCTCCTCTGAATGTCTGTCCCTTTCATTGCTTGTACTACTCTGTGAGTGAAAATCTCCATGTTATCTCCCTCTTCTGAGATCTTAACTGGTTTGAAAAATATCCTTGAGTGCCGAGGCCGGTTTATTCATGATCTAGCAGAGTGCCTGGATGCACCAAGCACCAGAGCCAAAATGGATTGAAGCATATGCTTTTCCTGATTTCTAGGGTATGTGGCCATGTAAAAATTTGCAGTCTCTAAAAATCAAAAGGCTGAGGAGCTGGTCCTTCCTTATTATAAAGTGCTTTTAGCAAAGCTTCTAAAACAATGCACCTTGAACTTTTTGAATGCAACCCACAGTCATAAATACATTTTATGAGACTCAGTACACAGATATATGTATTGGCAATTAAACAAATATTTCACTAAATAATACCTCTGTGACATTGGATACACTATTATCTATTGTCTTATTCTAACCTATGCTATTCTGTATTATGCTGTTCTTTCTTTTAAAGTGCTGATCATGGCCTGGCCTTCTGGCACCTGGGGGGTGTTTTCTGGGGGCAGATGCAGAATTGCCTCTCATATGTCTCGGTTGATTTCAGAATCCTCTGCTCTTCAGCCCCTGGAGGGAAACCATGCTTAGCCGGCGGAAGGAGCTGGCTGGGGCTGCTGAGCCTGCTGGGCCGGACAGTAAGGACCTCGTAAGAAGACGTACCAAGACTAAGAAACCAGCGGGGGCATCAGCTCAAGGGGATAACTCCAGCCCTCAAAAAGTTTCAGCCTCTAAAAATGGTAGGAAGAATCTAAGCAGTTACTGGCTGGTGATGTCAGAGCCAGAAAGCCAACTAGACAAAGGTGTAGAGGTGCAGTTCAGCCCTGGGGATTGTAAAGCACAGCCCAAGCAGACAGCATGCTGGGATGGCCTTCACAACTCCCAGCCCCAGAACTTCCCTGGGGCCCTGAAGCGGGAGAAAGGAGCCTTCTACCAGAGCAACTGTGAAGAACCAGGCATCGCAGGATCTGTGAAGCTTGTGAGGTAGGCGTCCCCAGACCACACACAGTTTGAGAAAAATAATCCCCATTATGACCCATCCAGCAAAGAAGACAACCCCAAATGGTCCAAGGTCGATGTACAGTTTGTTCAGATGAAGTGTTTCATGACCCTGGTGCCTGAGCTCAAAACCCATCTCCAAGCTCACAAAGCCACTGGAGGCCCCTTAAAAAATAGGGCTCTCTCCACTTGCCAGATACTCTCCATTCAGCCCCTGACCCAAGAGGAGTTTGATTTTATTTTGAGACTGCAGGAAAAGGAACCAAGTTAACTGGGACACTGTGGCTGGAATGGGCAAGACAAGACTCCAGAGAAGTCAAGCTTTTGTAAGACGAAAGAAGGTGTGAGGAGACTTGTTTGTTATGTTCATCTGGGGCTGTGTACGTAGGTGGTTTTCATGTACCTTTTTCAATAAGACATTAATATAAAAGAAAGTGATGATCATAATTAAGTAAATGTCACAACCTTCTAACGGGTCTAGACTTGTAGTTATATTAAAAAACCTCTTAAAAAATTCCAGCACTGACAAAAACCTCAGCCACTGTTTGCCAACAGTGCCCTCTGCTGGGTGGCTTTATTATAAGTAGTTTCATGAACATTTATTTGCCAATGTGTGTGTGTGTGTGTGTGCGTGTGTGTGTGTGTGTGTGCTGAGTCTCACTATAAAATATATTTATGACAGTTGGTTTCAGTAAAAAAAAGTTTATGAATGTTTTGAAGTCTTCCTGAAAGCACCGTATCACGAGGAAAGGCCAAGCTAACCAGGGACAGTGATGTGTATGTGTGTACGTGTGCGTATGTGTGTGTGGGTGTGGGCGCATGAGGTGCCCCGCATGAGGTGACAGATGCTTTGCAGGTGTTCTTCTGACATGGGACCTCCCTTCCCCAAGTCCTGCCCAGAGGAGGGATTCCAGGGAGCTGCCCTTCACCCCCAGACCCTGTCCTACATATGGCTGGCCCGGGGCCGAGGCAGCAGCACTCACATCTCTGTGGAGATCAGGCTGGGCTCGCTGCAGTACTCGGTGTCTTCGCTCATCCGCACGTCATAGGGCTCGGCCTGAGAGACCTCCTCCTGACACACCATGGCTATCTGGCTCTCCCGGGAGTGGCACCTGAAGGGTCCAAGAGGGAGAAGTGAAGTCAGAAACTGCTACCCCCACCGTTCCCTCACAGGTGAGGCGTCACACACACGCGCCCACGCAACCACACAGCGAACACGCACACACACGCACCCACACACCTGCCCACACATCCACACAGTGAACACGCGTCCACTCATCCACACAGTGAACAAGCGCACACACACGCCCACACAGTGAACACGCGCCCACACGCACCCACACACCCACACAGCAAACATGCAGGCGCCCACACAGCGAGCACGCGCCCACACACCTGCCCACACACCCACAGTGAACACGCACACACACGCGCCCACACAGCAAACATGCGCCCACAGGCGCCCACTCACCCACACAGCGAACATGCACACACACACGCCCACATGCACCCACACACTCACACAGCGAACATGCGCCCACACACCCACACAGTGAACACACACACATATGCGCCCACACACCCGCCCACATATCCACACAGCGAACACGAGCACACACGTGCCCACTCACACAGCAAGCATGCACACACAGGCGCCCCCACAGCGAGCACACGCCCACATGCGCCCACACACCCAACCACACACAAAGCGAACATGCGCCCACACACCCACAGCGAACACACACACACACGCCCACACAGCAAACACGTGCCCACATGCGCCCTCACACCCACACAGCGAACACACGCACACACGTGCCCACACACCAGCTCACACACTCACACAAGGAACACACGCCCACACACCCACACAGTGAACACACGCACACACGTGCCCACACACCCATACACACACCCGCCCACACACTCACACAGTGAACACATGCACACACGCGCCCACACACCCGCCCATACACTCACACAACGAACACACGCCCACACACCCACAGTGAACACACGCACACACACGCCCACACTCCCGCCCACACACCCACACAGCGAACACACGCGCCCAAACACCCGCCCACACACCCACACAGCGAACACGTGCCCACACACTCAGCCAATGCGCGCACACACGCCCACACACTCATCCGCATGCGCCCACACACCCACACAGCGAACACGTGCCCACCCATGCCCACACACGTAGCACACCCACACAGCAAACACATGCACACAGACGCCCACACTGCAAACACGCGCACACACACACAGTGAACACGCGCACACACTCACCCACACACTTGCCTACACACCCACCCAGCGAGCATGCGCACACACGTGCCCACTCAGCCACACAGTGAACACATGCACACACACACCCACAGTGAACACGTGCACACACACACCCACGCACCCGCACAGTGAACACGTGCCCACACACCCACACAGTGAACACATGCACACACATGCCCACACAACCACACAGCGAACACGCGTACACACACACACACAGCAAACATGCGCACACATGTACCCACACACCTGTGCAAACACACAGCAAACACATGCACACACACGCCCACACAGTGAACATGTGCCCACACTCACAGTGAACACGCACCCACGCACCTGCCCACACACCCACACAGCGAACACAAGCACACACGTGCCCACATTCACACAGCAAACACACGCCCACACACACAGCGAACACGCACACACATGCGCCCACACACCCACAGTGAACACACGCACACATGCCCCCACACACAGTGAACACGCACACACACACAGTGAACATGCGCACACATGCACCCACACAGCAAACACGCACACACACATGCCCACACAGTGAACACACACACACGTGTCCACACACTCATACATTAAACACACACACATGTACCCACATACACAGTGAACACACACATGCCCACACACACAGTGAACACGCCCACACGCACCCACACACTCACACAGTGAATATGCACACACACATGCCCACACACAGTGAACATGCGCACACACATGCCCACACACACAGTGAACAGGCACACATGTGCCCACACACTCACACAGTGAACACGTGCACACACATGCCCACACACTCACACAACCGCTGTGGCCTCTTCCTCCCACAGTTGCTGATGAGGCAGCAGAGCCACGGAAACAGTAAGATCAGGATCAGGATTCCATACAGAATAAGCATCTCTGGGTTAGGACCCAAGGAGATCTGAGTTCTGACCCCAATTCAGTCGCCCTCCGGCATGAGTCACTGGCCCATCCCCCATGCTTCGGTATCCCCATTAATAAAATTGGAGTAGCGTATGCCCTGCTTGACTCAGAGGCTTGTCATGAGTAACAAATGAATTAACAGATGTGATGGGGTTTTTATAAGGTGGAAAGGTCAAGCTTTTAGAACAGGCTTGGGCTGCTCTATACGGGTTGGGTGGGTCCTGAAAGTGCTGTCCTCTCCCTCTGCTAGAGAAAGCTGGGCCTTTGGTTGCTGGTTGGGCAGAGCCGGGAAGTTCCTGGGGTCACATACTGCCATGCCTTTGGGTTTGACATTGGCTCCTTAGAGTGACGGCAAAGACTAGAAGCCTCACGTCGATGGGTTTGTTCTCCTGGGCAGTGAGCCTGAGTCCCTGTTGAGCTCGAGACCCTCCTGCACCAGGGTGTGCCCTGGATGATTCTGCTCACCCTTTGGCCCAGGTGTTCTCCCTTTTCTCATCTGTGCCTCTTAGTACCTCCCTCAGTCTTTCTTCCTATAGATCCTGAATGCTGGGGCTTGCTTTACTCCCAAACCCATGAAGGCATGAGGGAAAGATCCCAGTTAATCCTCTCAGGGCCGAGCGCTGGATCAGTGCCCTAGATTTGACCTGGGGCCTCTGAGCTGTGGCAACTCAGGAAGCTCCCTCCTCGGGTACCTACCTGGTTCTCTGGAGCAGGCCCTACCAGGTGGCTGCCCATCCCACAGTAAGGACAGATGAAATGTTGAAGGCTCTTGATGGGGTGGGAAGAGGGAAAGTGAAAGGAGTTTTGGGGAGCCATCATGGGATGAGCTGGAGACGGAGAATGGCAGCAGGCAGGCAACACCACTTCTCAGGGGCCACTGTGTACAAGACATGCTGGCCCGTCCCCAGCAAAAGCAAAGCCAGTGTTGGGCCACTGCACTTAGCCTTGAGCTGCAACATGAAGGCTGAGACCCCAGAGCTACAACTTGGCTTAACTTGTTCCTCCTCACCAAGCTGAAGCTTACTGCCTTGGGTGTCGTTTTTCTCACTGTGCAGGGAGGGAGGGAGCCAGTATTTACTATGTGCTAGGCATTGTGCTAGGTGCTTGCATGTACCGTAGTTCATGGATAGAGGGATCTGTGGGGAGAAGAAGAAAATCCTCCGATGTCTCTCTTAAAAACCACTCTCCCTTCATTTAATACAGACCACAGTTTAATAGGAAAATACCCTCTGAAGGAGGTATTAGCTCAGACTGAGACGCTAATGATGGACATAATGAGCCTTCCTAAAGAAGAGATTTTGATATGGGGAGCAAGGGAGAAAATGGCACCAGGACTGAGTCCCTGAAGTTCGTAGGAGGTTTGCAGAAAAGGGAGGGGCCACCAAGACAGGCATGGGCCAGCCACTTGAACTCTGATACTCCCCTGTGCAAAGCTAAACTTTCAGATCAGCATACAAAATTCAGAGCTGAGCACACTGCCCTGAGCATGGAAGGCCTCCACATATATCTCTTGAGTAGAAGGACTCACCCAACATTGCTTCCAGGTGGTTTCACCAGCCATTCTTCCAGACAGTAAGGTAGACTGATGGCCAATCTGACTTGGCTGTCATCAGACACCATTAAATGCCCAGGCCACATAGGGGTCCGTGGGGCCACTTGAAAGTGGGTGTTAAGAAGGGAAATGAAAACCCGGGGGCAGGTATGCTGGCTCCTTAGATGAAAGCAGCTTCAGGACACTTGTCCAGAAAGACACTCACACATCACAATTATTTTCTAAGCTCGTGAGCAGGAGAGATCTGCCCAAGAACATGGCATGCTGGGGATCTGCTTGGCCTGCTGTGGTGGGGGTGCTGTCCACTAAGAGTGAGGTGGCAAGATGCAGGGAGGCATGTCCTCTGCCATCCAGCCTTGGGAACCCAGAGCTATTGATAGAAACAGGGAGGAGACCCTTTAGGCCCAGGCTGTGCTTCCAGAGGCCTAGAGCATGGCAGTAGGCACCTACCGTCCCATTATACCATAGCAATGCATCCTGGAGCACCAGGGAGCAGAGGGTGAGGAGAAAAGCATGCATCAGGTGGTGGGAGATCGAACTACCAGGAATGATCCTACACTGGGGCAGAATGGGCAAGCGCTACGGTGAAGGGCCTCTTGCCACCAAAATGCCCCTCCCAAGAGGGTTGAGAAGGGTGTAAAGAAGAGGTGGTAGCTCCATTCCCATCCCAACTAGGCCAAAGGCCAGGTTTGTGTGGACTTGGGAGAGGCCGGGGGAACAGAGTCTGTTGTGTAGCCAGGATGCCAGCATCCCGGGGGGTGGGGGCCTGGGCTCCTCAGCTTGGGTAGCATGAGAGAGCACAGGAGGCTCTGTCCCGCGGTGTGCATCACAGGACACTTGAGGCCATCGGGACCATGGTGCCTTCCCCCAATGGCGGCTGCCACATTTAATCGAGGGCAAGATCGGGAGGCCTATCTCTTGGTGGGATCTGGGGCAGCAGCCTCCATCCCAGCTCGAGGGGTGAGTGGTAGGCCTGGGGGCCAAACTCTACCCCCCATCCAGTCTGGGCTGGAGTGTGTGGGGCCCCTGTGCACGGTCCCTGGATGCCCCACCCTCCTGCTTACCTCTTGGAGCTGAGCTTCCAGGCTGCCTCCTGTACCCGGACGGCAGGAGACAAGGGGGGCCCACGGCCCTCTACGGTGCTGACCGCGCTGGGGTAGCCAGTGGGGCGGGGGAAGCGGCCCAGGGCAGTGTTGTTGGCATTGTTGATGTTGGCGTTGGAGCCAGTGGACGAGTAGCTGCTGGGGGTGAAAGTGGAGTCCACCAGTTTCTCGTGGGACGGCGACCCGGTGTCGCCTTGGCTGTTAGCTGCCTTGTTGATGTGCAGTGGGCGCTGGGTAGTGAAGGTCTGGGGGAAGGCGCTCCGGCCGTCGCTTTGGTAGCAGCTGACGTGGTTGCCGAACAGGCCGCCGGCCCTCTGTGGGCGAGACAGGAGGGGTGGGAGGAGGAGAAAGCCCTCTCAGCTACCTCTCCTTCTCGGCCAAGGCACGGAAGGCTGTCTGCTTTCCAGAGAGCACAGCCATGCCGGGCAGTACGGGGCGGACGGGGAGCTCTTGGCCCACGTGGCCTGGCAGCTGGAGGGGAGGGACGCAGACGGTCCCCTCTGAAACCGCTGGGGGGCCGGTGAGGGACAGGACAACCAGGCACGAAGGCTGCTGCCCTGGGACTTTCTACCGAACCCCCTGAGGACTCAAGAACCAGTGTAGGATGGCAATCCTTAGTTGCAGCCAGTCGCTCACTCGCCTTGGTGGCTGTGAGGCACTGGGAGGGCTGAGGGATGGGGAAAGGGACCAGGAGATTCTAATGAGAATTTTTAAAACGGAGATCCAACTGGCTCACTGAGCTAGAAACTATGTTGGCCAAACGGTTTTGGGAAAATAAGGATGACGCATTGACTCCATTAATTATATTATGGCCTTCTCTCCCCCGGGCAATTCTTAGAGATTTCAAATCAGGACCCAGTGTTTGCCCCCAACATTCTTTCCTTGTCCTGGGGCGAGTGGGCAAGTAGCTATCTGCAAGTTGGTCTGTGGGGTCTCGCTGGGGCAGTGAGAGCATGGTGCTGTGTCCCTGAGGCCATTCGGTGATGGACATTTCACAGTGATGAGGATGAGGATGGTGATGACAGGGCAGCCACAGGCCAGGCAGGCTGTCCTCCCTCCCGGTGTCTCCACAGCCCAGGACCCCTGCGTGGGGGCTCGCAGGGCCCTGGCGCGATGCTGCTTGGTGGCTTCTCCCTTGCTTCGGAGGTATTTTAGCCAAATATCTTCGGGGTTCGGCAGGGATCACCATGAATGGAGAGAGCAAGTCAGGTTCGGTTTCCACCGAAAAACGGATGCTCAGCCTCCATATCCAGGAAAGGAGAGGGAAGGAAAGCTGGAGGGGACTTTTGTGACTGGGAGAACACGTGCTTTCTCTTAAGAGGACAATTGCCCCTGGGCTCCGCTCCTGTGCTGCCACGTGGGAACACAAGCCAGATTCTCTGATTTTTAAAAGACAGGTCAGAGGTCTAGGTTTTTATTTGAATGTGCCGGATTTCTGAATGCTGGCAAACAAAATCTGTCTGCAGGTTAGATGCAGCCAAAAGTGGCCCCATGGCTTTGCAGCTTCTAATGCAGAAGGTTCTCCTAGGAAACATGTCCCTTAAGAAAATGGCTCCTCCCCTCTTTCTCCGAGAGCCAGGGACACTCTGGGAGCTGCCATGTCCTGGGAGCCCAGGCTTGAGATGGAATCACACTTGGAGAAGGCCGAGGGGTTAGGAAGTAGCTGAGTAGGAAGAGCCTGGAATCTGCCAGAGAGCTCAGGGCTTTCTCCCTGGATTTCCTTGGCAGAGCGCCAGCCCACCCTCTTGCTTCCAGCTGAGCTTTATAAAGGTAAGAGTGCTTCTGTGGCATCCACCTACCCTGAAGATGTCGTCTTCGGAGGCAGCAGACACAGCCTCCTTCATGGCCTTGTCCAGCTCCTCCTCGGCCGTCAGATCTCCAGAGATGGCCCGTCGGATCTCAGGCCCGATGTCATGCAGCGTGCGCAAGCCAGCCTGAAACCCAGAGGGACACCCAGCCGCCTGACCTGCTGCCTCCCCATTAGGCAGGTGAGCCTGCTGAGGGTTTATCTGTGTGTGCTAACCAGGGATGTGCTTCGGGACCTCCCTTGTCTGCCCCAGACTGGAAGAATCCATTTCTCCACCCAGGAAGGATAAAGGCACATTAGGAGCGGCCATGAAGCAGGCAGGACTGGCGAAGCAGGGTGTGTGGGAGGCAGTGTGTCACCCCTTCACACACACACCTTTGGAAAGGCTTGGAGCTCCCTGAAAGTTCTGGAGGGACCTGGCCTCTGACCCTTGGCCAGAGGTTGGAAGAAGGTGACCAGGCCCTTCCTTAGGGTGTGGACCCCCTCCTCGCCTCTTACCTGCAGGGATAGGGCGTTCCTCTGGGAGGGTTTGCCCACCAGACCCTGCTCTTTGCGCTTCTTGAATTTCCGGAAGTACTCCTGGATCAGGAAAGTAGCATAAAACTTGCCAACCGTGACCTCATCATCTGAGACAGAAGAGAGGACAGAGGGGAGGTAAAGGGGGTAATTCAGTTGGGCTTCATTCACTTTTTTTTTCAGCATCCAAGCTTTCCGAAGTTTTTTAAACTTTTTTTTTTTTTAAGAGGTAGTCCATTCACATGGTTCAGAAAGGCAAAAATATATTACAAAGTGTACAGTGAAAAGTCTCCCACCCCCCCATCCACCGAGTTACCACCTTTTAATAGATAACCTTTCTAAAATTAGTTTCTTTTCTTTTTTTTTAAAAAGATTTTATTTATTTATTTGACAGAGAGAGAGAGTTAGTGAGAGCAGGAACACAAGCAGGGGGAGTGGGAGAGGGAGAAGCAGGCTTCCCGCTGAGCAGGGAGCCTGATGTGGGGCTCGGATCCCAGGACCCTGGGGTCATGACCTGAGCTGAAGGCAGATGCTTAACAACTGAGCCACCCAGGCGTCCCTCTAAAATTAGTTTCTTTAGTATTTTTCCAGAGAGTCTTTCTGCAAATGCTTTCTGCAAATAAGCAAACATATTCTTAGCCCCTCTCTCTTTTTTTTTAACAGTAGAAGTAGCCTATTATTAAAATTATTTCCCACCTTGCTTTAAAACCAACAAAAAAGTGTAAAAAAAACTTAAAAAAGTAAAAAAAAAATTAACTGACATGGCTAACTAATTTTTTATTTGAATCCAAAACTTGAGGTGCCCATCATAAATTGACTAGTCCCCTAAGTGCAAACAGTTCTGGTTAAAGATGAAGTTTGGTGGAAGGAGCACCTTTCTTCTCTAAGTTTGGGTTTTGCTTTCAAACCAGACAGACTGGCTTTTCTTACCATGTGGCTTGGCTGGATCCCTGCTGGGCTAGACCCCCAAGTTACACATGACATAGTCAGCCTCTGTGTTGGGAATGAACCAGGTGGTGGAGAAGCCAGAGTCTCCAAGGAGAACATTGCATGCCCTGTGAGTAGCCTCTTGGCTCCATCTTCTTCTCAAGGAAGTGGGCCCAGGAGACAGTTGGTAGGTTAGACATAGGGGCCTGGGATGGTTCTCCTACTCCTAGTTGTCTCTTAAGAATAGCCAAGTCCACAGCAGTGGTGACCTTCCACATGGCAAACACCTCATTCCCATGTGGGAGAGAAAACCTGAGTCCCCCGTCTAGGGTAGCCAGTGAGGAAGAGCTGCAGGGCAGAAAGAGCTTGGAGTTCTGGTGTCCTCCAGGCCTGGGTTTGAATTCTCAATTTGCCAGGTACTTACCCTATAGCATTGGGTCAGCTACATAGCTTCTAAGTACTTCAGTTTCTTCTTTTTTTTTTTTTAAATAGATTTTATTTATTTATTTATTTTTTAAAGATTTTATTTATTTATCTGAGAGAGAGAGAATGAGAGAGAGCACATGAGAGGGGGGAGGGTCAGAGGGAGAAGCAGGCTCCCTGCCGAGCAGAGAGCCCGATGCGGGACTCGATCCAGGGACTCCAGGATCATGACCTGAGCCAAAGGCAGTCGCTTAACCAACTGAGCCACCCAGGCGCCCAGTACTTCAGTTTCTTGAGCAAACTTCACAGCAATGTTATAAGGATTAAATAAGGTATGCAAAACGTCATGTGGTGCTTGGCCTGTGTAGGTGACTTTTCACTGAGTTCCAGTCCTGATTCCCTTTGGGAAGTGGTTCTCAACAGGGCCGGTGTCAACATTAAGGAGTGTTTTGGGAATGTGTGGGATTTTTTTGGTTGTCACAGTGTGCTACAATCATTAGGTGGTTCCAGATGTGTCCCTTAAAACACAGGCATGTTTTGCACAACAAATAATAGATTTACACTCTGCCTGATGTCCTTACCTGAGCTAAGAACCTAACTTCATTTTACATATGAACAGAAAATAATTTTTTTGCCTGGTTTTAATATATCCAGAATTTCCCAGGTATATAACTGCTAGGTAAATTGATGGATGACCATACTTTGCTTTGTTTCCACTTGACCAAGAAGGCTTTACATTTTGGAAAATTGTATCCCTGATGGCAATGCTCCTTGTGGTATCTGAGTGACCTGCTGCATCTGACCCGCTTATATCAGTCTGCATTTGTTCTATGTATGTGCATGTACGTGCGTATACCTATGTGTGTATATATTATTTAATATACTTAGTTATCCCTTACTTCAAAATGACAAATACAAAATGTCAACAATAGTCAATATTGTCTTAGTTCCTTTAAACACAAACTTACTCATCATAAGTGGATGCATGCAAGTATTTTATCAGTTAACTGTAGCTTCTGGCATAGTGCCATAACCCTTAGTGCCCAAGCGTGCATATATTGAAAAACATTTGACTTTAATGTATTTTATATTAAGGTGTTATATATGTATGTTTTTAAAGATTTTATTTATTTACTTGAGAAAGAGAGAGAGAGCATGAACAGGAGGGTGGTCAGAGGAAGAGGGAGAAGCAGGCTCCTTGCTGAGCTGGGAAGCTGATGCGGGGTTCAATCCTAGGACCTCGGGGTCATGACCTGAGCTGAAGGCAGTCACTTAACCAACTGAGCCACCCAGGTGCCCCAAGTTAAGGTGTTATATTAATATTTTGGAAACTATATCTGTAGGAAGGTTATAATTTTCATTCAGGATAGTAATAGGGGCATTATAAACTGTTATGAAAAGGGGCACTGGGTTTGAGAGAGTAGAGAAACACTGTCCTAGGGCGCCTGGGTGGCTCAGTTGGTTAAGCGAGAAACACTGCCCTATATAAAACAAAAAGAATATCAACCAAGAGTGGATCTCAGGGGATTCTTTTTCCAGGTCCCCATTATTTCCAGAGCAACCAGCCTAGTAATTTATGGGGAAACCTATACTTTGCAGAGTTTCCTTGGAAGTTCTGCCAAACCTCTGAGCATCAAGGGGCCTTGCTTAGTCTATGAAATGTATGGTTAGACCAGATTTCCAACCTGACATTCTGTATCTGAGTTTGTGAAGGCATGGTGCCCTTGTCCCTTCCAACCAGTACGGCCTTGGAACTGCACAGGAAGGGCAGGAGGGAAAGCAGTCTTCCTACGAGCCTCGTGGACTCAGGAACCAGGCAAGAGCCAAGGGTTTGGAGATCGTGGGAGCACTCACCACCTGCTGGGGGCACTACTTGGTCCAGCAGCTTCATACTGGTCCGCTTCCAGATCTTCTTGATTATGGCCCGCAGCTCCTCGTTGGCTTGTTCTAGGTTTCCTGAGGGGAGGGAGATGCAAGGCTGAAAACGATCATCAGCCCTTTGGGGGCCCATGGGGTGGGTCCCCCTGAGCAGAGTGGGAAGCCGCCACCCCACAGAAAGCCCTGGTCCATCAGCTTCACTTTCTTTCTCTCCATTCGACCAAATGTCACCTCCATCTTCTTTTTCTTTGTATTGCTCTCCATGGTCCTACCTCTCCCTCCCTCCGTTCCTTGTCCAGTGCCATTCCTTCTCCCTTCCTTCCTGCCTGCTGCTCAGGCCAGCCAGTGGCGATCCTTCATCCCCACACGCTGCTTCCTCGTGAGTGGCCCTCGGAGCGGACCAGACAGCCTGGCCCAACTGAACTCATCCACCACCTGCCAGAGAGCAGGAGGGGCTGCTCTGGTGCACAGCACTTCTCACGGGACTCTATGGGTGATCGAGGTTTTCCCCACACAAAGCATCCATACGCAGGGGGACCTCGGTGTCAAAGCTCTTTGCTGCATGTCCTGTGGGGAAGAGGTAGCAAAACCTCAGTGTAGAAGCTGGACTCAAAACACACTGGGTTCTGTTTTGGAGCTTCTCTGGGTTTACTTTCTCCACTGGTAAAACAGGCTTAATTTGCTGCCGATCCCATGCAGCCTCTGGGACACTGGTGGTATAGCAGCTGTAAGACAGGGTGTGGTGGGCAGTAGTGTAAGACCCCCTGAGCTATGTCCCACCACCACTGATATACACACCTTGCCTGGTCCCTGGTGGGTCCATGGTCCCTGGACTATAATGGATTTTACCCCCATGATTATTAGATCATGTGGCTCCTATCTCCTTAGGATAGGGAGATTATCTAGGTGGACCTGACCTAATCACATGAACTCTTCAAAAGTAGAGAGTTCTCAGGTGCAAACCTATAGTTAGAAAATAAATAAATCATGGGATGCAATGTACAGCATGGTGACTATGGCTAATAAAACCATACTACATGTTTGATAGTTGCTAAGAGAGTAAGTCTTAAAAGTTCTCATCACACACAAAATTGTAACTATATGGTGACGGACATTAATCAGATTTACTCTGGTGATCATTTCTTTATATATACAAATAAGGATCATTATGTTGTACATCTGAAACTAATATAGTGTTATATGTCAATTATACTTCAATACAAAATAGAAACAAAACGAATAAAAAAGTACCACATGAAGGAGGTCAAAAGATAAAAGTAGAGAGTTGTCCCCAGTTGGGAGCAGAGGAATGCGAGAGGACGGCTGTGGCCTGGGAGAAAGCACACACCAATGTTGTGAATTGAATGGAGAGAGGCAGCCCCTGGGGGCTCAGTGGTCCCCAGCTGAGAGCCAGCCTTACAATGGCAAGACATGAATTCCTCCAAAAACCCGAATGAGCTGGGAGCCTCTGGAAGAGGACATATCCTGATCAGTGTCCTGATTTTGGCTTTGTAAGACACTTAGCAGAGAACTCAGGTACTCCATGGCTGTACCCCTAACCTATAGAACTGTGGGTTAACAACTAGGTGTTGTTCAAACCGAAGAATTTGTGGTAATTGGTTCCACAGCCATAGGAAACCAATACAGGGGTGTTTACTGCTGTTACACAGGGGAAGCAGTACGGTTGAGAGCTCTGCTGTTAAAGACTGTCTGAGGTGAAATCTGCCCTGTGGCCACACCAGAGAGGCTCCCAACAGAAGTAAGCAGAGGTGGCAATGGAGGGAGAGTGATGGACTCCTGAATCCCCTGTTGGATCCAAACAATACCTGGAGCCGGAGGACGATCCTGGGCATTCCAGTTATGGAGGCAATCCTGCATGGTTAAATTCCCTTCCTGGTTAAGGTAGTTAGTGGTTTCCGACATATTCAATGAGAGTCCTAATTAAAATAATGCTCAAATATGCTTATCTTCTGTAGTGGGTTGAATAGTGTCCCCACCAAATTCATGTCTTCATACATCCTTGGCATGTAGCTTTTGTTGGAAATAGGGTCTTTGCAAATGTTATTAGTTAAGATGAAGTTATACTTTATTAGAGTGGGCCCTACATCCAATACTACTGGAGAAGACCCACAGAGACACACAGGGAAGAAGGCCATGTGAGGATGGAGGCAGAGACTGGAGTGATACCGCTTTGGCCAAGGAAGGCCAAGCACAGCCCGCCCCCTCCAGAGAGGCATGGAACAGTTTTTCCCTTGAGTCTCCGGGAGGAACAAACCCCACCAACACTTCTCCCATTCAGCAGGTTGCCTTTTCATTATGTTGGCTTCCTTCACTGTGTGAAACTTTAGTTTGATATAATTTCACTTGTTTATTTTAGCTTTTTGTCCTTGCCTGAGGAGACTGGTCTAAAAATATTGCTAAGACCGATGTTGAAGAACTTATTGCCTATGTTTTCTCCTAGGAGTTTTATGGTTTCAGGTCTTACATTTGTCTTCAGTCCATTTAATTTTTGTGTATTTTTGTATATGATATAAGATAGTGGTCTGGTTTTATTCTTTTGCAGGTAGCTGTCCAATGTACCCAACACCAATTATTGAAGAGACTTCCTCATTGTATATTCTTGCCTCTTTTGTCATAGGTTAATTGACCATATGTGTGTGGGTTTTTTCCTGGGCTCTCTATTCTATTCCATTGATCTATGTGTCTGTGTTCATACCAGTACCATACTGTTTTGATTAATATAGCTTTGAAATCATGGAGCATGATACCTCCAGCTTTGTTCTTCTTTTTTAAGATTGCTCTGGCCATTTGGATTTTTTTTGTGGTTCCATACACATTTTGAGATACTTTGTTCTAATTCTGTTAAAAATGCCATTGGTATTTTGATAGGGATTACACTGAATATGTAGATTGGGTAGTATGGACATTTTAATAATATTAATTATTCCAATCTATGAGCACAAAATATCTTTCCATTTATTCATGTCTTCAATTTCTTTCATCAATGTGTTTTTTTTTAGTAAAGATTTTATTTATTTACTTGAGAGATAGAGAACACACAAGCAGGGGGAGAGGCAGAGGGAGCGGGAGAAGCAGACTTCTTGCTGAGCAGGGAGCCCGAATGGGGCTTGATCCCAGGACGCTGAGATCATGACCTGAGCCGAAGGCAGATGCTCAACCAACTGAGCTACCCTGTGCCCCTCTTTTATCAATGTCTTAAACAGTATTCAGAGTACAGGTCTTTCACATCCTTGGTTAAATTTATTCATAGGTATTTCATTATTTTTGATGCAACTGTAAATGAAATTGTTTTATTTATTTATTTATTTATTTGAGAGGGAGAGAGAGCAGACTCCCTGCCAAGGAGGGAGCCCGATGTGGGGCTCAATCCCAGGACCCTGAGATCATACCTGAGCCAAGGGCAGATGCTTAACCGACTGAGCCACCCAGGCACCCCTGAAATTGTTTTCTTACTTTCTTTTTCTGATAGTTATTGGTGTATAGAAACACTGATCTCTGTATGTTAATTTTGCATCCGATGACTTTGCTGAATTCATTTATTAATTCTAACAGATTCTGGTGGAGTCTTCAGGGTTTTCTCTATATAGTATCATGTCATCTGCAAATAGTTACAATTTTACTTTTTCCTGTCCAATTTGTATGCCTTTTATTTCTTTTTCTTGCCTACTTGCTGTGGCTAGGACTTCAAATACTATGTTGAATTAAAGTGGTGAGAGTAGACATAACTTGTCTTATTCCTGATCTTACAGGAAAAGCTGAAACTTTTCACTATTGAGTATGATGTTAGCTGGGGCTTGTCATATATGCCTTTATTATGTTGAGATACATTCCTTCTATACCTACTTTGTTGAGAGTTTTTCTTATCTTAAATGAATGTTGAATTTTGTCAAATGCTTTTTCTGCTTCTTTTAAGATGATCATATGATTTTTATCCTTTGTTTTGTTAATGTGAGGTATCACATTGATTAATTTGTGGATGTGGAACCATACTTGCATCTCTGGAATAAATCTCACTTGATTGTGGTGTATGATCCTTTTAATGTATTGTTGAATTTTGTTTGCTAATATTTTGTTAGGATTTTTACATCTATATTATCAGATATATTGGCCTGTTATTTTCTTTCTTGTGGTATCTTTGTCTGGTTTTGGTATCAGGGTAATGCTGGCCTTGTAAAATAAGTTTGGAAGACTTCCTTCCTCTTCAATCTTTTGGAATAATTTGAGAATAGGTACTAACTCTTCTTTAAATGTTTGGTAGAATTGACCCATGAAGCCATCTGGTCCTGGACTTTTGTTTTTGGGAGTTTAAAAATTACTGTTTCAATTTTATTACTTGTAATTGGTCTATTCAGATTTTCTGTTTTTGTGTGTGTGATTCAGTCTTGGAAGATTATGTATTTCTAGGAATATATCCATCTCTTCTAAGTTTTCCTATTTGTTGGTGTATAATTGTAGTAATCTCTTAACCTTTGTATTTCTGTGGTGTCAGTTGTAACTTTTCCTTCATTTCTGATTTTATTTATTTGGGTCCTCTCTCTTTTTCTCTTGAGTTTGGCTATTGATTTTATTGATCTTTTCAAAGAACCAGCTCTTGGGATGCCTGGGTGGCTCAGTCAGTTAAGCAACTGCCTTTGGCTCAGGTCATGATCCCAGGGTCTTGGGATTGAGTCCTTCATCAGGCTCCCTGCTCAGCGGGGAGCCTGCTTCTCCCTCTGCCTGCCACTCCCCCTGCTTGTGCTCTCTTTCTGACAAATAAATAAATAAAATATTAAAAAAAAGAACCAACTCTTACTTTTATTATCTTTTCTTTTTTTTCACAATCTCTATTTCATTTATTTCCACTCTGGTCTTTATTATTTCCTTCCCTCTACTAATGTTGGGCTTTGTTCCTCTTTTTCTAGTTCCTTTGGGTATAAAGTCAGATGGTTTATTTGGGATTTTTCTTGTTTCTTGAGGTAGGCCTGTATCATTATGAACTTCCTTCTTAGAACTTCTTTTGTTGTATCCCACAGATTTTGGAAAGTTTTGTCTCCAATTTCATTTGTCTCAAGGTATTT